CCCCTCAGAGGCCTGGGAGCATGGCACTGCATCGCAGCCCCATGTAGCCCCGCTGCGCATGGCCGAGCATCACCCATGGGCATGGTTCTCCCACCTGTCCTGGGCAGTTGGACAGCCCCCTGCAGCCTTAAAGAGAACACCCACTTTTTTTAATGTTTGATCAGGAGCTTTGCAAACCAGGTACTTAAAAATGTGTCTCGAGGTCCCTGTTTTAACTGCGCTCCCCCGCCGCCCCGTAACCACCTCCCCTCCGCCCCATCGCTGGGTGCTCCTCCGTCATGCGCTGCCACAGCTGCAGCTGTGCCTTTGAGCATGGCAGGCCCTGAGTAGATCATGGCATTTGGAGTTTCCCAGGGAGTTCTGAGCTTGGGAGACGGCCCCCTGTCTCGAGGCGTGAGCTGGCCATGTTGATGTGGCAGGCTCTCCTCGGGTAGTTAGGTGTCCGGCTGTGTGTCCCAGGGTTTACTGGTTGTCAGGAAGCAGGCTGTTGTAGTCGGGCAGCTGTGCACATGTCTCCTCCATCCACGTCTACATCTGAAAGGCAAGTCTCGGAGAGAGAAGTCGGTCTTCCTTCCCCAGTGGCTGTGACCGTCAGCACTGGGCTGGTCTGACACCAGGAGCATCCTCCGGGTGTCCCACGTGGTACAGGGACCCCAGCACCTGGGCTGTTTCCTGCTGTGTTACAGGTGCACTGGCAGGAGCTGGACCGGAGGTGGAGCAGCGGGGACTTGAGTCAGAGCCCACGTGGGGTGCTGGCGCTGCAGGCATGCCTGGCCCGTGACATCCTTGTACTTAGTTCTGCAGCACGGATCCTCTGCACTCACAGTGTGGCTGGGGCGCAGCCCATCCAGGAGCCTGGGCTGTGCTCGCCGAGACTACCAGGCTCACCTCCTTTAAAACGTTTACTAGCTTGGAGGTGAGCATGGCGGGAAAAACCCCACTTCAGATTCCTTTACACTCCTGAGTCCCACATTCAGAAAGATCACAGGTAATTTGGTAATTAATTTCTTCTTAATTAATAAGCCGGCTTAATGACCAGTCTACTATAATTTACAGTGCTTGAAGGTTCCTGTTATTTATGGGCTTTTTCCAGGTGAGCCCTGCCCGCTCTCTCCCGCACCGTGGTTCTCCTGGGAGAGTCTTCCAGCGCCAAACATGCTAGATGGCGCCTTTGGGTGCCAGCACCCAGGGTGGGCTAGTGTAGTCTTGTTGGGCCAGGCGATGTTTACAAGCGTATCCGTTCCACACATTGCAGGTACTGTTTCGGATCTTCATCAGACGGTAAGTCCCAGTGTTGCCTCCATGGAACTTTCTCCCCTCCTGCATCCCGATGCTGCTTTATCCAGGGGCGGACGACTCGTCTCCCTCAGCCCTAACTCAGTGTAAACCAGGCCACACGGGGCATCAGCAGCCGTGGCTCTTCCCTGTCGGTCAGACCTGGGCACTGCACAGCACCATCCTGAGCTTGCTGCCCCCTCTTCCTCGTCCCCCTGGTGCCACCCAGCCATCTCCCACTAAGCTTGGGGCATATGGGGCTCCTTCCAGGTCTAGTCTGCTGGGGGTGGGGCCCACAGTGGTGCTGACGCACAGCAGTAGCAAGAGTCCAAGGAGCCGCCCACTGCGCATGGGCAGAGCCTGGCTTTGAGGGCGACCAGAGCTACCGTCTAGGAGTTGTCACACAGCTGGTGCGTGTCTGGGGCTCCAGGGTGCTCAGGATCAGCTGGGGCAGGCCTGGCAGTGCTGTGTGGGTGCTCTGCAGAGGTGGTGGGGGATGGGGAGGCATGGATCTGGGGTGCAGGTGGCATGGAAGGTGGAGCTGTTTATTGTGTTGGGAACTAAGGGCAGGTATAGGGCCTGGCAGTGTGAGGAGTCAGCAGGGGTGGGGACTGGGGAGCAGCAGTGCCCAGCTCTGCTCAGGACGCTGCTGGTGACCGCCATGACTACGCCGGGGTGCACAAGTGGACAGGTGTGGCCAAGGGCTGGCCTTCCCAGAGGGCACCAAGTGAAATGCAGGTCCCCAGGCCCAGCCCACAGTCACTGTCCAGCTGGGGATGTCCAGTGGGGATGCCGCCCGATGCCAGCACGAGGCATCACGGGGCCAGGCTCGCCACGTCCGAACCCTGGCCTCTGGTGACGTCCCCGTGACGGGTGCCGAGAGTCTCCGTTTGGTTGTGTGTTTAAACGGGGATGTGTCTCTCCCTCGTGACGTGAAATGTTGGAGAAAGTAGGTGTAGCGCTGTTTGTGTGTGCTTGCTTATTTTCACGTCTTGGTAGTGGAGACGTGGAATTCCGCACAGGAGTGAAGAGATACTTAGAAAGTGGGGCTGCCTCTCCCAGCCCAGCCCTCCCCCTTGGACCTGCCGTTCCGTCCTCAGCTTGCCCTGCCTCCGCTCAGGGTGTAGCTGCGTGTGTAGGACCTAGGAGCTCACTGATCTGTGAGGGTACTTGAAAAGTTCTGGGAAAAGTGGGGTGAAAAGGCATGCGTGGGGTTGGCATCGTGATGCCGCAGTTGAAACCATCCCCTGTGTTTTGGGTTGTTCAGGGGTGCCTTTCAGGGAGGCACCCCCGATACCATCCCTCCTAAGCCGTCAAGCAAGCAGCAGTGACCCCCCACTGGTGGCTGTTGGGGTGCAGGGCCGGGAGGAGTGGCCACGGCACTGGGGTGGCCCCTGCCCACGGCAGCCTCTCGCCCCTTCCTTTCCACCCGAGACCCCTAGTTCTCCTTAGCGTTTCTCCTCCACGTAAGGTTGCCCTGGGCTTCCGGGCTGTCCCATAGTTCTGAAGTAGTCGGTGTGTTTAAGGGGCAGAGCACTTGTCAATTGTAATGGGTAGTTTAGGGAAACACGGACAGAAAAAACAAATAAAATTTTAAAAACACAGATATTTCCAATTACTACTAGCAGTGGGTGTATTTTTGTCTTAAAAAAATTATTGGTTTACTTATTTGGAGAGCAAAGTGTGAGTGAGAGAGGGGGAGATAGCTTACAGGTGCTGGTTCACTGCCCAAGTGACCGCAGTGGTCAGGGCTGGGCCTGCCTGGAGCCTGGAGCTGCTTCTGGACCCCCGTGAGGAGGGCAGAAGGCCGTGGCTTGGGCCATCTTCCATTGCCTTTCCCAGGCCATCAGCAGGGAGCAGTCTGGGGGCAACAGCCTTGTCCCAGCACCACCACGGCGGCCCGTGTTGTGACATGAGAGTGATGGAACGCCCACCGGGTGGACAGAGCAGTGGCACACCCAAGCCATGCCTTGCTCTGCGCCTCGCCGCGGGGAGGGTGGGTCACTCCCACGCCTGTGCGGGGCCGCAGAGAGGGTCCCACTCTGGACTCATCTGTGGAGGCCTCTCAGCCTGTCCAAGGAGCGCGTGCCAGGGCTTGCAGCACCCTTGCTGTCCCGTTGAATTCTGACCCCTGTGCATTTGCCAAGAGAGTTTAAAGATCCTTGCCCATGTGGGCATCCCACCAGATGGTCACGCCTGGTGCCCAGGTGAAGCTGCCATGTGGCAGAGCGGTCATCAAGACCTTGTGGCTAACCTGGCCACTTGGGCAGCAGTTGGGGCTTCAGGCCAGTCCCTCCTGGCTGCTCACATGTCGCACCTCATAGGTTTGGGGTTTGAGTCCCTCGCCCCACGTTTGTTTTTGAGAGGCCTCTGGCTTCGAGATGAGTGGGTGCTGCGGTGTTCCTCTAATTCCAACGTGATTAGCTGATGAAGACGTTAATACAGGGGAGATGAGTTAACGGGTGAGATGCGGCTGTCGAGCCCACCCCTCATTCTAGGGAGCCATTTGTCACACGCCGCCCCTTCACGCCCTCTTCTTGGTGGGGTCGTTCATCAGAACCATGAGCTGTGGACAGCAGTTCCTTATTAAAATTATGTTTGGAGAAGAAATTAACCAGGATCCCAGTACATGCCCCTCGTGCGTCACAAACCTATGCCCCAGGGAGCAGGAGGAGCTCCTTGTGGCCCTGGAGTCCGGAAACTGACCTCCTGCTGTGGGCAGAGCTGGGATCTGAGTATACTTGAAGGTCCCCACAGCCAGGCCCACCCTAAGCACATGTCCCTTCAAATGAGAGCCACAGGCCCCCTCCTGCCCTGGGCCCCTCCCGCCCCAGCCCCTCCTGCCCCAGGCCCCTCCCATCCTGAGCCCCTCCTGCCCTGGGCTCCTCCCGCCCCCGACCCCTCCTGCCCCTGGCCCCTCCTGCCCCGGGCCCCTCCTGCCCCGGGCCCCTCCTGCCCCGGACCCCTCCTGCCCTGGACATTGTTGGTGTAGGAGGAGATTTTTCATTGTTAATTTGCTTTCCAATTAAATCCAGTATGTTTTATCAGTGAACCTATTTGCCAGGAGAAGTTATGGCTGGTTGAATTTGAATCTGCATTGATTAAGATAAACTTCTAATGTGTTTCATGTCCTTAAACATTCAAAAAAGAGAAGGTCTTGGGTACAGTTGCACATTGCTGGAGGAGTTAACGGACAATTCTTTAAGTTGTGCAAGAAAGGTTATTGGCTTTCAGAAGGGTTAGTTAAATTACTCTGACTTAGTTAGGACTGTTCTTGCTCGGAGCAGCTGGGAGGAACAACCATTCTTTAGAATGACTGGCTGAGATAAGTGTGTGTTCTTGGTTCAAGTTCCAGTCCTCTGCAGTGGTCTGGGTAGGGCTGTGTGAGATCAGAGGACCGGCTCCTCTCTCATCTCCTGGGTCACCAAGTGTAGCTTCCATTCCAACATTGGGGAGCTGTGGGGGCTGTGGGGGCAGCTGTGCGTTGCCGGCAACAAGCAGGCAAAAGCAGGGGAAAATGGGTGGGGGGCGGTTCTCGTTGCCCTCACCTGGCTCCTATGCTGTGCGCGTGCATGGCCGTGGGGGGCAGGGGCGATGCGAAGTCGGGCGGCCCTGTCCCCACTGAGGAGAAGGACTCGCAGAGCTTCGGGGCTCGCCCGCGTCCGGTCACGTTGACTGCGCTTCAGAGCGGCTTCACGTTGCTTTCCTCTGTCCTGTGTCCCCAGTTGCCCAGAAGATCGTAGCCACGAGGAAGAAGCAACAGCTGTCCATAGGACCCTGCAAGTCCCTGCCCAACTCCCCCAGCCACTCCTCTGTGTGTTCGGCACAGGTGTCGGCCGTGCACATAAGCCAGGTACGTCAGGGCGCACGCGAAGGCAGGACGCGGGGCTGCGGGAGGATGCGCCAGCACGCGGGCACTCCACGGCTTGCTGGCAGGTGTAGTTGAAACGCAAAACTGTTGTTACTGCAAAAAAAAAAAAGTGGAAAACGTGCACATGGAGCCTTCGGAAAGTTCATGAAAAACTCCTGTTAGGACCAAACCCTGAAATGCTTGGTACCAAGGTCTCTTAGGTCTTGGTTCCACTCTCCCCCCGAAAGCTTGGGTGTGCCCTCACAGTCTCCCCAGGCCACAGAGCACTGATTGGGTTTCTTTAAATGTTTCTTTTCAGCTTTGTAAATAGCTGTGTGTTGTGATTGCTTTGACATTCCCTCTGGAAACTACTGTGGCCCTGTGCTTTCGACGGGACACATTCCATGATGGATGTCCCTGCCCTCCGCCGCGTGGCTTAGGAGGCCTGACTGCTCCGGGGCCGGGCAGGATGCCTGCCAGCCTCTCTGCTCTCAGTTTAGACCCAAAGCTAAGGGCCTGGTCTAGTCCATGTGTAGGTTAAAGGCTAATCGCACTCCAGGCCTAAAGTCGGTGGTGGCCTTTGGGTGTAATTACCGTCTCCCTTGGGCACCCATAGAAACTGCCATCTTTCCCTGGCAATGTTTTCGCTGTTACTCAGAAGCAAACGAGATCGTTGTCATGCTGAAGAGCTGAGCTCAGAGCCGTGAAGGCGGCCACTGGCCTGCTCTTGCCTGGCTTTGGCTGCTGGGCAGGAGTGGGGAGGTGCTGCTTTTCTCCTGTGGTTGGAATACTCTAGAAGGATACGCCGTGTTAGCCTGTCTCCCAGTTCTCTCTGCTGTGTGAGGCCCCCACGCGTGGGCTTGGTGCCTCAGATTCCCCGAGTGTGACCTTCATAGATCCCTGGTCTTCCCTCATTGCAGACCAGCAACGGAGGCGGGAGCTTGAGCGACTACTCCTCCTCCGTGCCGTCGACGCCGAGCACCAGCCAGAAGGAGCTGCGCATCGACGTGCCCCCGACGGCCAACACGCCCACGCCCGTCCGCAAGCAGTCCAAGCGCCGTTCCAACCTCTTCACCGTGAGTGTCCACCCAGGCAGCCCAGGGTGTCTGCTGCCCCGAGCCCGGCCGCCAGGCGGCTCAGCCGTGGCAGAGGCCCCAGAGCGGACGCGTTTCTGAGAAGGGCACTGAGCCCGGACAGCTGGGAAAGCGAGCAGGAGCGGAGGTTCGGGTGCTGAGTGGCATGGGCAGGTGCCGAGGGCGTGTGTGAGAACGGAGGAGCAGGGAGGCTTGGGCGAAGATCATTCCTGGCGCGTGACGAAACACGTTGCGTTCCCAGAGTCCTGTGAGGGGTGAGAGCCTCGGAAGCCGGCACAGTCCCTGCCCCCCAGCTTCTGCTGAGGGTGGGCAGGGCTCTAGGGAATGATGCTAGGCCGGCAGCACCCCCAGCAGCCCCCCTGTGTCGGCGGGGCCCCACCTTCAGCTGGTTGACTTCCCTTTGGGGTTGATTCCTGGTGATTAGATCTGAGGGACTTGGGCACTTTGTATGTTTGGTATCTGGCCCACTGCCCTCACTGATGCGGGTGTCTGCTGTGCCAGTGGGCACCTTTCCTGCCCTCTGGGTGGCCCTCTCTCATGGGACGGTCATGACCCTCTCCTCGACCAGAGCCTGTGGGAGCCAGTGGCTCTCCCCTTCCGTCGGCTGGTTGCCCCCAGCCACAGCACTGTGGGACAGATTCCAGGCTGCCCCTGGCCTCCGGTGAGTAGCTGCACCTCTCTGAACCAGGACGGGTGGCACTGACACAGGGCCTTGCTCATTGCTGCCGGTGGAAGCACTGTGATTTCTGAAAGCAGAAAGGACAAGTGGCTCTGGCCTGTGACTGGGGAGGGAGGCGTGCAGGTCACTGCACGTGGGTCAGCCACAGCGGTCAGCCGCCCGGCTCCCCGTCTCACCCATGTCCTAGGGCTGGGGCGGGGTGACACTCCCACAATGGCTCTGTGCTCCTCATGCCTCGTTGAGCTCTGCCAGCCCAGGGTGTCGCAGGGTGGCAGGGGCCGCAGCTGCCACTTGCCGGCCTGGGTTTAGGTTCTGAGGGAAGGAGCTGACAGTGTCTTCTCCCACCCTCAGATGGGCGGCTCTGCACTCTGCCCGTGCTGGTGACTGACCGCCCCGGGCACCCACAGAGCAGTGCTTCTGTGCCAGGTGGCCGGGATCTCAGGGATTGAGTGCCTGGCTGGGGACCTGCCGCTTGCCGTGAGCTCATGCTGTGGACATGTCACCAGCCGTCCCCAGGAGCCTGGCCTGGCCGTGCGTCTGGGAGGGGCACTTGACCAGAGTCAGGAGAGCATGGAGTAGAGGGAGAGAGGACAGCAGAGAGGGAGCTGAGACAGGCCGATGGCTTCTGGTCCAGCCGCACAGGCCAGTGTGTGTGCACACCTCCCATGCAACACACACCTGCCCAGGTGCACATACTGCTCATAGTCACACAGACAAACACCTGTCCAGGTGCACACACACTGCTCATGGTCACACATACCTGCCCGGGTGCACACACACCTCCCATGCAACACACACCTGCCCAGGTGCACACACACTCTCATGGTCACACACACACATGTCCAGGTACACACACACTCTCATGGTCACACACACACACCTGCCTAAGTGCACACGCACTGCTCTCATGGTCACACACACAAACACCTGCCCAGGTGCACACACACTGCTCATGGTCACACACACCTGCCCAGGTGCACACGCACTGCTCATGGTCACACACACAAACACCTGTCCAGGTGCACACACACTGCTCATGGTCACACACACACACCTGCCCAGGTGCACACACACTGCTCATGGTCACACACACACACCTGCCCAGGTGCACACACACTGCTCATGGTCACACACACACACCTGCCCAGGTGCACACACACCTCCCATGCAACACACACCTGCCCAGGTGCACACACACTCATGGTCACACACACAAACACCTGCCTAAGTGCACACGCACTGCTCTCATGGTCACACACACCTGCCCAGGTGCACACACACACTGCTCATGGTCACACACACAAACACCTGCCCAGGTACACACACACTGCTCATGGTCACACATACCTGCCCAGGTGCACACACACCTCCCATGCAACACACACCTGCCCAGGTGCACACACACTCATGGTCACACACACAAACACCTGCCTAAGTGCACACGCACTGCTCTCATGGTCACACACACCTGCCCAGGTGCACACGCACTGCTCATGGTCACACACACAAACACCTGTCCAGGTGCACACACACTGCTCATGGTCACACACACCTGACCAGGTGCACACACACTGCTCATGGTCACACACACACACACCTGCCCAGGTGCACACACACTGCTCATGGTCACACACACACCTGCCCAGGTACACACACTGCTCATGGTCACACACACCTGACCAGGTGCACACACACTGCTCATGGTCTCACTCACACACACACACCTGCCCAGGTGCACACACACAGCTCATGGTCACACACACACACACACACACACACACACACACACACACACACCTGCCCAGGTGCACACACACACTGCTCATGGTCGCACACACACACACCTGCCTAGGTACACACACACACAGCTCATGGTCACATGTGACTGTGTGTGTGCACCGCCTGCTCAGGTATGCACATGCGCACACACACACACACACACACACACACACACTGCGCACATAGCTTTGTGCCTTTGTTCGTACATTTGCCTTCTCTCAAATGTCCTGTCGTCCAGGGGAGGGCCAGGGTCTGTAGTTGCCTGGGGCAGGTGTAAGAGCCCTTCTTGTGGCTGGGGACACTGCTGTGGGAGACACGGCCCTGTGTGAGTGCCCAGGGTGAATCGTGGCTGCTCCTGTTTGTTCCAGCTCTGGGAGGCAGGAGTGCTGACCCTGGGACTTGGTCGCTGCCATCCATATGGGCGACTCGTACAGTTCCAGGCTCCTGGCTCCAGTCCTGCACCATGCTGGGTTCTGTGAGGCAGCAGTTGGGAGCTCTGCCTCCCTCCCTCTGCCTTTCAAGTAAGGTGAATGTAAATAAAGGGATTGGAAGCCTCTTGTTTGTGGTGATGGAGAATTGCCGTTGACCGTGTGCTAGTTGGTACCAACAGCCTGTGTGTCTTTATGTCTGAACATCATCTGATAGGGGACCGTTTGGGGCAGCTGAGTCCAGCGGTCATTAGGGGGACAGGCATGAGGGGACGTGAGAGAGAAGCTTGTGCTGGCTGCAGAACTAGGCAGTCCCTCCCGTTAGGCAGGGTGTCTGTGAGGTGAGGGTGATGCTGGGGTTGCCCCGTTCAGTGGAGAGAAACCTTGGAATGGCAACTCCACTAGAGGTCAGTGTCACCCAAGGAATGAACTGAAGGCAGCTTAGTTTTTGAAGTGGTCACCATCAAGTAGTTAAATTGGTATTGTTATCATTTGTTCCTCTTCTGAAACCTGTGACATGTCCCAGCCGTCTCATCCCTGGCCATCGTGGTGGTTACCGGCTGACGCTGTCAAGGTGTGTGTTTGTCTAGGAGAACAGCTCTGCCCCCATGGAACAGTCTTGGTTAGGGAGAAGGCGTGCCCGGCCACAGGCTAGGCTAGCCCACCCCGCGGAGCCCAGAGTCAGGTGACACAGCATAAAGCGGGCCTGCAGGGCATCACTCGGGGCCCATACCTCATGCCCCCAGGTGTGGGCTCTTGCCACACAACGCAGTATTGTTATCTCTGCCATATGGATTCGGCCTCGCTGATCCAAGGCCAGATTAGCACATGGCATCACCTTACCTGTTGGCAGTGATGGCGTCATCCACATGAGAGGTCAGATGCCACCATCACCAGATGGCCAGGCATGCCCGGTGCCCGGTGCCTGTGGGGGTGGCACTGCCCAGCTCGTCACAGCTGGCAGTGGGGTCGCCACTGGGGGGAGCAGGTCTCCGGGTGCCTCGCTGTGCTGCTCTCTGCAGCCTCGTGCGAGCTGGTGGGAAGAGAAGCCAGTCTCCACTTAGATGCTGCCAGTCCTGTTTGCAGGTGCTGCTTGACAGACGTGTCTCTGTGGCCACTTCCAACACAGGTGTTGGACTTTTCTCTAGGAGAACAGATATCAGGCTGTCTTAACCTTGCTTTCCCTCGTGGAAGCGACACGGTCCCAGGGCTGGCTTTCAGTGTCCAGACCTTACATGAGAGTGTAGGCCGCTCCGTTCATGTCCCCAAGCAGCAGGTAGCCACCGCGATGCTGCCAACATGTGCAGCAGCTCCCGAGGGCTGCTCGCATCTGACGGCTTCTCAGAGCCATCAGCAGCTGGGGAGGGTGCGGCAGTGGCAGGGGGCCGTTCCCCGGGGGGCGGGGGAAGGAAGAGACCTTCCTGGAAATCGTATGTGTTGCAGCGTCTTTAGGCGCAGTGCGTTGGTGGTGGTTGAGTTGCTGTGTTGCAGTTTGGAGATGGAATAGGGAGAGAGGGCCCACAGGAAGTCCTGTGCCACCATGGCACTGCAGCTGGCTGCCCCCGGGCTGGAGTGTCAGAGCTGCCGGGAATTCTGTGGCTCCATTTGTGCGTGACAGTCTGCCCTCTGCACGCACTCCTGTCCCTTCGAGACTCAGTGTGTCGCATGGTCCCTGCTCCGAGGGTTTGCCGCCGCGCCTTGGGCCGTCCCCTCTCGTCCCCCGGAAGCTGGGGCCCTGTTCCCGGAGCACAGTGACTGTGGGGACAGATGTGCTGCCTGGAGGAAGACAGGAATTTTTTTTAACGTTTGTTTTGTTAATTGTTCTGGTTAATAGAGAATAATGAAGATGGATTTCCAAATTTGGAATGTTAGTATTCATAAAATCCCCGAACTGCTGTTCATGGCTTTGCCAGTTGAGGCTATTTTTAAAACCCCGCCACACTGAGCTTTGACGTGTATTTGACAACTGGAAAGCTCGAGTGCCAGCTTCCCACGAATTGGAGTGTGGGGAAGAACGGGAGATCCTCCCTGGGTGGCTCCAGCTCAGCGTTCCTGGTGCAGGATTGCTCAGTTGGAGAGGAGCATGCCCTCCCCTCCTGGGTGTGTGCCTGCTGCTTCCTCCGCAGCCCTGCCTGCCCTCCCTAGCGGGGAAGCCTTGTGTGTTTTCTGCTGCACCTGTTAGTTCGTTGCTTGCTGGCTTCACTTCCTGGCTTTCTACCCTCCGAAGGAAAGAAGGCCCTGAGCGCCTGGCACACAGTAGGGCAAACCTCACCTCCTGAGGCCACATACATGGCTCGTTGCTGGTGGGCACCGTGCCGCTTGCGCCCCAGCCGTGCGGCCGCCCCACGGGCGCTGTCCTCCTGTTACGGCCGCATCGTGGACCCCGCGTGCCACCACCTCCTTTCTGTTCGATCCCTGGAACTGCCGCTTTTCGCACTTAACCACACGCACGCGGCTGCAGCTGACGTCCTCTGAAGGCTGGCTTCCCGTTCGCTTGCTGCCACAGCAGTGGACACGCGGCTGCAGCTGACGTCCTCTGAAGGCTGGCTTCCCGTTCGCGTGCTGCCACAGCAGTGGACACCACCACATCACTCCATTTCATATATCATCTCAGATTTGAAAAGCACATGAAAGTGTTTCTCCATTTTCAATATTGCGTGAGTAATGTTCCCATTGAAAAGTAATGGAGTGAAGTTGTCACTTGTCAGCACAGTTATTAAGGAGGACGAGTCTCTGATCTTTTTCTCTTATAATCAAATAAATCTGTCAGAAAGCCATTGTGCTCACACTGCCTCATGCCATCAGAAACGGAGACTTGTGACGCCGGAGCCCGTCGGCCCCCGTTGCTGGCCGCCCCGGCCGAGGCAGCGCCACCGCCTGCGTGCCACCGCCTGCCCGCCACCGCCTGCCCGCCACCTGTACGGGTAGTTGGCATTGCGTCACGGGGCGGCCAGGCTAACCGGCTGAGGGAGGTGGCAGGCAGAGCTGCTCCTGACCCCCCAGCCTGCCGTTCGTCAGGGTCGTGTGCAGTGTTCCTGCCTTCATCGCTGTGTGTGTGCGTGCTGGCATCATCCACTGGGGTAACTTTGGGCTGTTTGGTAAGCGGGAAAGCAGGCATTCGCTGCCTTGTGGCAATAATCGGTGTGCAATGACACAGCTGACTAGCTAATAGGAGTTTTAATATCATCAAGACATTAATGAAGAATATATAGGTGGGCAGTAGATTTCCTGAACAGCCAGAGGCCCCTGCTTGACGGCGTCCGCGCAACCTTGGAAAGGCTTTCCTGTGTGATCCGTCGCTTTCTATTCATCGGATTTTGAGCTCTAAAAAAATAGTAATTTAAAAATATTTTACAGAATAGAAATCGGGCAAGTTTAAAAAATTCTCCTTAAAATGATGAGTCATTGGAGAACTCCTCTCCCAATCCGCCTGGAGTGTGGGGTTTGTGTGTGTGTGTGTGTGTGTGTGAGATCAGACAGTATGCACAGCACCTGTGTGTGTAAGGCAGGGCCCCCACCCCACCCCCCATCACCCAATTGCGAACTTTCCCTTTGCTTTTGCAGTCTCGGAAAGGGAGCGACCCAGACAAAGAGAAGAAAGGGCTGGAGAGCCGGGCGGACAGCATCGGGAGCGGGCGAGCCATCCCAATTAAACAGGTACGCCGCATCCCTCCTCCCGTCCCCGCGCCGGAGCCGCACCTCGGGTCGGCCAGCGCCGCTGCCGGCCCGGCCGCCGGGGTTTGTTTGATGTGCCCTGTTGATGAATGTAGGAGTCTCTCACTTGACATCAATTAGGAGAGGTTCCTGTGTGTATTAAAATGGGATCATTAGAATAAGAAGAGGGAAATGCGACAACACGTCTAATGAAGTGCAGTCTGCCCGGCCTGCATATGGAGTGCGCTTGCAGGCCGGGCCGGCTTCAAAGGCCGCCTTTGTGGCGTCTTTGATTGGGCTGCTGGCCGCCAGGCGACAGGGCTAAATCAGATCGCCGTACAAGAGCCCCTTGTGATCACAGGACTGGCCCGACGTGGCCCTAATTTGCTCTAGCAGACGGACATCTGAACACTGTTCCGGGCCGCTCTGCGACAAGGAGGCAATTAGTCGCCATAATCATGGCCGGTGTGTCAGCTGCGCGTGCTTGTTTGTAATTTGCTAATGAAGGAATTGTAACTTTGATTAGGTTCAGTTTCATTTAGACCTTATTATAGAAAGGAACATTTACAGCTGTAATGTGGGGGGGGACCTTAATTAAACTTCCTCATTACACAACAGGACTGGAATTCAAGCATTTGCTTTGGCCTGCGTGGCTAGACTGGAATAGGTTTTCATTAGCCAGAAACCAGATCCTATATTACTTTGTGTCCTGAGCAAAAAAAAAAAAACAAACAAAAAACTATGGTTCATGCGTGACGCGTCTGTGGCTGTTTGTGCTTCCCAAACAGAAAAAAGACGCCCCGCTCCGGGACTGGCTTCCGGAGGCGTCAGCCTTCGATGTGTGGATGTGCTGGGTTGGAGGTGCCTTTGGCTGGCATGGGGGTGCAGTGTCAGCACCAAGCCATCACGGTCTGTCCCCTGGCTCGTCACGCCACTCTTCTGTAGGGGACCTCCACAGCTTTTTCAGGAGCCCGGACTGGCCCTGGGTGCCCCTCGGAAGGGGCAGGCTCTTCCTGCGTCCGATCAGCTCTGGGCTGCAGGTTTGCCTGCCTGACTCCTGTGGGAGTGCAGCCCGCAGGACAGGCCCGGCGATTGCAGTCCGAAGATGCTGCTGGAAGGGCATAGGTTGCGTGAGGCCGCGGGGGTCTGGCTGGGATGGGAAGGGGACACTGAGGCTTTCCTGCGAGACCCCGGAGTGGCTGAGAACACCCTTCCTGCCTCACACTGGTCCCTGGCCACTGTGGGCGATGGTGCCTTTGGCAGTAGAGGAGAGCCCAAGGCCTGTGCTTTAGCACCTGCTCAGATACGAGGGGGCAGTGGGTCCGTTGGCATGAAGTACCCTTGAGAGTCTGTCCTCTGCCCGTATGAGACATCTTCAAAGTTGTGTGTGAAAATAGAGTTAAAAAGATAACTATTTTGGTTCCAAAAGAAAGCCCATGCATCTTTTTTTTTTTTAACAATATGTGTTTTTTTTTTTTATTAGCTTTTCTAAGACACTTTGTACGCCTGCATTCTGCAACCAAATACAGTTGTCTTTGAATTCCGTTTCCAGCAACTTTCTGAAGGTGCCTGTAAGACAACGAAACAACCTCCTCTGTGCGGCGGGCGGCACTTTCTTTCCCCTGCTCAGCTAGGCCAGGGGCGGCCGGCCGCAAGTGGGCCTCTCTCAGAACATAGCTCTGCGCGTGTCACAGGTGTGACAGAGCCTGGACGTGGAAAAGTCATTGAGGCAGGGTTTTATTGATTCTCCCGCGGAAAGCCTAGTGTCTGGGCGCCTGGTGCTGAGGGACAGGCCTGCCCAGCCCTAGGCGGCGGTCACCTCCGTGCTCACAGACCCAGGAGCCCCCCGCCTGGAGCCTTCCTCGGTTTGCGGCTTGCTCACAGGGCATGGGGGCGGGCGGCAGGCTCAGTGTGCGTGGACTGAAGTTGATGGCCAAGTGTAGAATGAGTGTGATCCATCTTGCATTGGAAATGCTCCGGATCACCTTGAAATCTAAATCTTGGTCCTGCGTTTCTGTCACCCCTGATCAGAGGGGTTCCTTCTTTAGTGCCCTGTGCACACAGAGCAGCCCCTTCCCGGGGTCCTCCCCCACCCCTCCGCCCCTCGGCCTGCTCTCGTGGCCCTGGCGTCCTTGCCTGTGATGGGACCTCGGGGTTTGGCAGCGTTGAATTCCTGAGACGTGGTGTTTCCACTGGGAGCCTTCCAGCTCATGCGGGATGGGACTCGAGGCTCAGTTGTGTCCGGGCGCGTGCTGCAGCCTTGGGGTGCGTCCTGCAGATGGACATGGGCACGCGTGCTGCAGCCTTGGGGCACGTCCTGCAGATGGACATGGGCACGTGTGCTGCAGCCTTGGGGCGCGTCCTGCAGATGGACACGGGCGCACATGCTGCAGCCTTGGGGCGCGTCCTGCAGATGGACACGGGCACGCATGCTGCAGCCTTGGGGTGCATCCTGCAGATGGACATGGGCACGTGTGCTGCAGCCTTGGGGCGCGTCCTGCAGATGGACACGGGCACGCATGCTGCAGCCTTGGGGCGCGTCCTGCAGATGGACACGGGTGCACATGCTGCAGCCTTGGGGCGCGTCCTGCAGATGGACATGGGCACGTGTGCTGCAGCCTTGGGGCGCGTCCTGCAGATGGACACGGGCACGCATGCTGCAGCCTTGGGGTGCATCCTGCAGATGGACATGGGCCTGGAGCCTTCGCCTCCGTCACTCCTGTGTTTCTAACGGGACATGGATGGTTCCAGATCATCTCCTGTGGGGCGTGAGAAGATTGTGAGGGGTCGCGGCATATTCCTTAAACTCACCAGAATGGTTTGTTCAGCACGGGAACAGCTCAACGAGTGCTTTTCTACCAATGCCCCATTTTATTCGCGGCCTTGCTGTGATGGTGGGTGCCGGCTTGATGTCAAGCCCAGGACGGCGGATGCTCTGCAGTCTGCCCCGGAGAGCTGGCTTAGCCCGAGTTCCCATCTCCAACACCAGCACCCATCACTGCCAGTGGGAGACATACCCTCGGCATGCTCAGGGAGGCACTACAAGGGGTTCGGAATTATGTGGGTGTACGGGGATGGCTCAGACCCTTATAGGAGCAACTTCTCACACTTTGTGCCTCCCAGCTTCTCCCTCCTGTCGGCTCCCAGGTGGAGGGGCCGTCCCTCTCTCTCCCCAGCACCCACGGCTTACACTCTGAATCTAACTCGGTCCCTGCCTAAGACCAGTCTGCGTGATTGCGGACCCCATGCCTGGTGCAGGGCCCCGCACCTGGAGGAGGAGGGAATTTGGCACCCCTTGTGGCTTGGTAATGGCCAGAGTTTCCCAACCCACTCTGTCTTGGACACAGCAGACCTCCTGGGATTCTTCCAAGCCGTGTCCAGGATCGCCCAGCCTATGTTCCTGACACTCCTGGGTGCCCCGGAGGGGGATTTCAGCCAGTGTCACGGGTGTCTGTGACGTAAGCCCTTGTTGGGAGCGGGAAACAGCTCCACTTCTGGCAGCCCTGGCTTCCCCTTTCCCGTCCTGGTCCTTTCAGTGGTCTTGGAGGGGATTGGTCAGAGAACCGGCTCTCCTTGCTAACAAGACGAGGCCCATTCAAATCCAAGTGCAAAAGCAAAGCCAGGAAAATAAAAGCCAGTGGCCCGGCGCTGCGACGAGTGGGCTTGTCCTGTATTAATTTTTCATTGCTGCGCAGAGTTGTACATACATAATCGCTTGATTGCAGTGGGAGTTGGGGAGCTCCTGTGGTGTCATTTGCATAAATCTTGTTAAGTCAATGGCAGTTAATGAAGTACAAATGAGCCCGGAGAAGGTGACATGCAAATCGTGGGTGGCAGATGGGAGGTCTGTCGGGGACGGCAGCTGTGTGCCCTCCTTTCTTGCTTTCTCTTTAGCGTGTTTTAATCTCTATATTTGAGTTCAGACGCACAGCCTTGAGCGCTGGCCTCCTCTCCCTCCGCAGACTCGCAGCCAGGCAAGGCCATGTCCTTTCCACTCCTGACGGACATTCGGGGCCACACCTGCCACTGGGGGGACTCTAGAATGGATGTGCGTTGTTTGCACAACTTGATCAGTTCATGGTGTCACACGACTGAGAAAAGATGCGTAGTTATTTCAGTTTTACATCTTCTGAGATGGCGTGTTGCCTGTTGAGGCTTCCAAGGATTTTAAAGGCATGAGCATTTTTGCTGTGATACCTTCTGTTTGGGGTCACTTCTGGCCTCTCCAGACCACGTGTGTTGAGCCCACCTGGGGCCGAGTCAAGCGCTGGATCACCACTCGTCGGGTTAGTTAGGGACACAGGACGCAGACGGCAGGGCCTGGCCGCGGCAGGTGCCGTCCGCCTCCGAGAGCTTTGGCCACGGCGTCTCGTGTGGGTGGACTTGTTGGTGAGGGTTGGTGCTGTGTCATGTACGTCGCGCTGGTTGAAATGCAGGGACAGAATTTGCACTTTGAAGCTTTTGAGATTGTCTTTGTCGTCCTGTGGTTGATTCTGGGAGAGCCCCGGGTCTGATGGTATTGAGGACTGGTAGAGTGAGGGAGCACTCCCCCAAAGCAGCTCGTGGCGGCCTGGGCGTTGGGTACAGGGGTGAAGCGGCTGTTCGGGGTGTCTGCACCCTCCGTCGAAGTGTGTGGCTCGGTGCTCTGACTCTGTTCCCGAGGTGACCCTCCTGTCACAGCACAGCCGGAGAGGCAGTACCGGAGGCAGCAGTCTCGTGTCGCTGTCACCCTTGTGGGAGATGCTCACGGAGCTTCGGGCACCGGGCTTCAGCGAGGCCCAGCCCCAGGCGTTGCTGGCATTTTGGCAGTGAGCAAGCGGATAGAAGTACTCTGGGAGTTTGTGTTTGTGTCTGCCTTTGAAGTTTTAAAAGTTCACGAGAAGTGTATTACATGACTGGCTCATTCGCCAGAATGGACCCCTCTCTTAATTCCATTTTCCTTGAACCTCCGGAAGTCCTTTCCTAAGCAGGGAGCCGTCGGCCCTGCTGCTGCTTTGGCCACT